GTACATGTAAAAATATTGAAATGGCAAATGTTTTGTTTTATATATTATTATAACATATATAACAAAACATCGTCATTTATGTGTTTTGTTATACATATAAGAAAACATCTGCCATTTCAACATTTTTTACATGTACAATTCCATGGTGTTAATTACATTCATCATGCTGTACAACCATCACCACTATCCATTTCCAAATTTTTCTACCACCCTTAACAGAAGCACAGTGCCCCGTAAGCAATGACTCAGTATTATTACCCATCTCATAGAATTGTTCTTAGAATTGAATGAGTAAATACACAGTAAGTGCTTAGAAATTTGCCTGGCATTTAACAAGAAACATATTTGACAACCTCTGTGAGAGTGTTAACAGGAGTCTGTGCTAGAAGCCGTATTTTTCGGTTACTCTTAGTACACTGAAATGTTAAGTGTTCAGACACATGCACTCTTATATTTGCAGGAACACGGTGCATCCCAGGGAACTGAAGAAATTCACTGAAGACAGCAGACAGAGAGCTCTCCTTAGATCGCTGACCTTTCTCACTTGCTGAACCTGCTGCCTTAAAGCTGGGACCAGGGTACTCGCAAGGACGCCAACAGTCCAAAGTTCAGTGGGCAAGGCCAGACTTCCACCGAAAAGACTCAGCTTTCTCTTTCCTATGCTCAGAATTAGGAAAGTGCTGGGTACTGAAGGGAAAGGATATTCTCTTCAAGGCAAAAGTGAAGAGATGGAGTCTCTGGAATCCCAGAATTCCTTTTCTAACTCTTGCTTACATTGAAACCTTGATGAAGAAGCACAATATTTTGTGGCTTTGTTTATTTCTCTTGTTCCTCATAGTGCTTCAACTACTGATGACCTAGTTGCTGTCATGGGGATAAATAATAATTTTGAAACATTTAGAGGAAACAAATTGGCCAAAAATATTTTAGTACCAACTTGAAAAAATGACTAATTTTAATGCTCATAGGAGACTGCATGGAAAGGGTTGTTGAAGGTGCAAACCCTCCTCTGTGCAAGGATCCTGAAGCACAGTCTTCTCACTTTTATCCCTATGGGATTCCGTGCTTTTTAAAGTGTTCTTAGAGATTGTGATCTTTTTATTTGTGTTGAATATGGTTTAATGTTTCATAATTCTTATTCAAGTAAAAGTGTTATAGTGACTTCAAAAATATGTAAATATTAGGGACAATGATAAGGTAAAAGTTACCTTTCCTAGATCACCATCTCTTTGTTTTTAACAATTTCTAATGTTCTTTCTGTAGTAAATTTATTTCGAAAAAGGGAAAATATTGTCCCCTAGTAATACTAACCAGTGCAAAGGTTTGAGTGTTTTATGACAGTGTTTAAAAATGCGTAGTAGTAGGAGAATAAAAACTGAACGGAGGGTTTATACAGTCTCAGGTATTTTTTTTTTTTTTATAGAAATGTGTGGTTTCCATGATGGAAAACTTCCATGCTGCCTAATGTTCTGATTTTATAAAAGCAGATGTGAAAACAAATGAAGGTACAACTTTATGAATGTCTTTGTTGAAAAAAAAAAAAGAAATATGGATGTGCTTTGCTCTCCCACAAAGGTGTTTTTCAGATGTGAAGTGTCTATAATTCATGTTTATTACATAATGCAGATAGGAGTTTACCATGTGATGGATTTACCTGCCAGATTTTGGAAAAGTGGAGGTGTCTAATAATTATTCCCTTCTTGTTTTATTCTGTATGTTAGGGTGTTCTTAAAGAAGGTAAAGCCTAGATGAGCTACTATTTGTGTTTATTTATAAGCAGAGTTGAATATTCCCGACCAACATCCAGTTACCAATGGATCACTAGCAATGGAAAGTTCTTGGTCAGTAATTGTCGAAGCTGCTCCAGCCACGCAGAATCAAAACCCTGCCACACAGCCATCAGCTTCGCATGTGTTCAAAAGGAAAGATTCAGAGACGCGCTGGCCACATACCAGCAATAGCAAAGCCAAAATTAAATAGGGAGTGTGATAAGGATCGGGGCAGCAGAGGTTTTTTTAAAGAGGCAGAAAAACTCTGGAAGAAGAGAGCGAGAAATCAGGGAGAGGAACAAAACAAAACAAGTACCGCTATTGTGCTCAGGCTACATATGAACGAATTATTATTTTCTATAAAATTGTTCAAGTGTTGTAAATATATATAACTTCACTGTAAATAATTGTATGAAATGTAAACATGCTATGTGTTTGGGTTTTATGAAGTAGTTTAAATTATTATTTAACATATCTTAAGATTTTAAATATGTATTTATTTAAGTTTATGTCAGGGCTCATTGTATTGTCATGGCACTGGAAGTTCAATAATAAATGTGTTTATATTTATCTCTGTGTATAGGCTCTTTCTTAAAATTTTATCTCATTCATTTATTTATTTTATTGTGTTTTAGGTGAAAGTTTACAGAGCAAATTACTTTCTCATTAAACAATTAATACACATACTGTTTTGTAACATTGGTTGCCAACCCCGAGACATGTCAACATTCTACCCTTCTCGAACTCAGGTTCCAATTTCCATTCGTACAGCTTTCCTGTCCCCTCCCGCCTTCTCGTCCTTGCCCCCGGGCTGGTGTACCCTTTTAGTCCTCTATACATGGTTGAACTACGTGTGTTATTGTTTGTTTTATGGGCCTGTCTAATCTTTGGCTGAAGGGTGAACCTCACGAGTGATTACAGCACTGTTAAAAGGATGTCAGGGGGCCGTACTCTTGGAGTTTCTCCAGTCTCTGTCAGACCAGTAAGTCTGTTTTTGTTTTGTTTTTTGTGATTTCGAATTTTGTTCTACATTTTTCTCCACCTCTGTCAGGGAACTTCTATTGTGATCCCTGTCAGAGCAGTCAGTGGTGGTAGCCAGGCACCATCTAGTTGTGCTGGGCTCAGTCTGGTGGAGGCTGTGGTAGTTGTGGTCCATTAGTCCCTTGAACTAATCTTTCCCTTGTGTCTTTGGTTTTCTTGATTCTCCCTTGCTCCAGATGGGGTATGACCAGTAGACATATCTTAGATGGTCACTCACAAGCTTTTAAGACCCTGGACGTTACTCACTACAGTAGGATGTAGAACATTTTCTTTATAAACTATGCCAATTGAGCTAGGTGTCCCCCGAGACCATGGTCTCCAGCCCTTAGCCCAGTAACTCGGTCTCTCACGGAGTTTGAATGAGTCTATGAAGCATCTATGACTTTGCCTTGGTCAAGTTGTACTGATTTTCCCAGTATTGAGTACTGTCTTACCCTTCGCCAAAGTTACCACTTATTTATTGTCTAGTTAGTGTTTTTCCCTCCCCACAAGTCCCCTCCCTCATAACCATCAGGGTTGTTTCTTTCTATGTGTAAACTTTTTCAACTCGAATTTTTATAATAGTAGTATCACACAGTATTTGTTCTTTTGTTATTGAT